GCATAACTAAAACTCGCTGATGTTGCACTTAACATATCTCCCAATCATATCAATAAAGCATCGCAAAACACAACAAGTAGTTCTGTCAGATTCGGCGAAACCAACACACGGGCTGTTGATAGCTCTCCCCAAAACTCTTTGAACTTTCTTCACAATGGCATATCACTACTTCTTTTCCAACACTGATAACTCAAGTCCCCGATGCTCAACGTGATCCTCTATACTCTTCGAATATATCCAAATACCATCGGTTATACAACCATTGACTCACTTAATTAAATATGGAAAATCTCATGCCAAACGGATACTCAACCTGTGAGTTATGGCGGAAACACGAACCGCACTTACTACAACATCCAAACGTATTCCATCAATAAATAACTTAATTCCATGTCATTACTTCACCATCGCATAGATCATTATAATAACTTCTCGCGCTTCGAACAATGCGTCATTCCGAGTTACGGTTCCCCCGTTACGACAAAATATAAAAACAACATTTTCACACTTAGAAGGCCATTTAACACATCTTCAACTCTTGAAATGCTTAGAGGTATAATCATACCAATATTGTATTCCACCTCTTACTTTCTTTAGTAATCACTAGAAATCACCATCCACCCTTATATATACTCGACCTCACAATCTGTTGCCGTAACACACGCACCAGACACCAGTCTCAGAACTATTCAATCAATTTAATTCCTTGACCATCCAAACATACATATAATATGGAGCTCTCAACATCGGACTAGTTTTCGTAACTAAGTCAATCACAATTCCCCTTCACGTCCTGGCTGTATATCACTATCTTGTCAGGATAACTTCCAGGCAACCACAATTAATCGGCAAACCGCCAACTTCCCACTTTCATTAATACTCAAAATCCCCGTCAAAATTAAACATCTCAACACTGCCCTGCGCCGACTTACCAAAACAATTCTTAAGCACTTGGCTTATCCATGTTAAGCACAAACCATCATGGTTCTCAAATGTAGACTGGTCTATCTAAGCATCATAACTAAACTAAACAAAACCAGCAACAATGTTCATAACTAACTTATTACTCAGATCCCACACCAATATCCAATAACAGTTTCAAATCATCCTTCTCAATGTTCATACATGACATGGAGCAATGTTTAGGGGAGTTCCAAAATGCACAAACACATAGCAACAACACAATATATGCTGACTAAAAGAGTGCTACGTATGTTGATGAGTAAAACAAGCAAAGCATAGCAGATTCAAATATGAAGTGTACTTAAATTTTAACCACATTTCAAACAAATCATACTAACATGTTCATGACAATCCATGAATAAGGTAGTGACTACTAACCTCTTGTAGACCTCCAAGCAAGCTTATTTAGTAGGGAGAACCTCGAAGAGTTGTTCCAGCTGATATCGAGTAGCCCTTGGTGAACTAGCAGATTTCTTGTATTTGAAGAAAATGAAGGAAACTTTGTGACAGATCCAATAACCAATGATGCAGAGATTTTTGAATGTTTTGGACAGTTGGTACACCTCAAACCAAAGGTATTTGGAGTGTTGAGATGAGTAAACAGGACTTTAGCAAAGTGTTACTCAGTTTTGTATGAAAGGTCAAAGTTTCCTTGGTTGAGAGTTGACTTTTGAGAATATGGAGTTCTTGATTGGTTTACGAACTTAAACACCTTCCATACATCATTTGTGGATTATGCAGATGGCTAGTAGTGAGCTTTTATGTATGAAAATGGTTTTGTAAGGCAAACTGCTCAAGACAGATTTTGAGGAGTTTTGGTGAACTTGCTTGGCTTTCAAGAAAAGTGGAAGGCAAGGTTTTTGATGAGTTTGTTCTGGTTTAATGAGATTTCTCTTATGTATAAATTACATGTAAGAGGTCTCTATTTATAGAGGAGGTGAGGCTCTTGGCAGATTTTGAAAAATGTGGATGGCTTTGGGTTTTGGAGGGAGAAAATGTAAATCTTCCAAGAAATCTTTGACGCAGCTGGTCTTGAGGGTTCTTGATGAATTGTGATGCATGAGACAAGTTTTATGCAGGCCATAAGAAGTGATTAAAGTGTGTCTAGAGGCTAGGGGCCCTGCTACTCCAGATTTCCTTCAATAAAGATTTTCTTTCCTCTTGATTTTCTTTGAATATAATAATGCCATTTGACTAGATCTTGCCCATGCTCTTCAATCCTTCTGCATTTCCACTCATCATACACTATAAATATTAGATCAAGGGTTAATCAATGGTTTAGAATCAACTAGATGGTTGGCAAGTTGGTTTATGTCAATTTTGAGAATGTACACTTCAAGTGTTTGAACCCCAACTTCCCTCCTTCAAAACTCCTAGCTCACAAATGCTATGGAGGAGTTCTTGTACTTTTTGGAAATCCCTTATCATGCTCTACAACTTTCATATTTTGGGATTGTTCAAATTCTAAGTGGAACTAGGTCAAAAACACCCTTGAAGTTAGCTGAAAACATGACTTGAAAAGTGCTAAAACCATGAAATTTTACTAAGTGTTTTTCCCTCTTGCATTGTTTTTCATCATAACTCAAAATCCATTAATTTTTTGCACCTAGGTCAATTTTTCACTTTTGTAGGACTCCTCAATACCTTTCCAACAAGCTTTGAACCACTCTAATTGAATGTGTGGTTAAGAAGTTATGGTATTGCCCAATTCTTGATCAATTGGTCACCACATTTCATGACTAGATATGATATAACATTAGGAACATAATTGCCTTCAATTTTGAGTCAAAACCCTGTTGGTTAATGGGTTGACTTTTTAGTCGGACGAACCGATTGATCAAAAAAACTTCAAATCGACTGTTAGTGTTCTGGGTCCCCTGAGGTCTTAAAACTTCTTGAGTGGACTTCAATAAGTCATATAAGCTTCATGGACCATGATTCCATCATTAGAGTGCCATTTAAATCAAAAGTCAAACCACAATTGACTTTTCCTAATTAGAAACCCTAATCGATAGTCCTGGACTGCACTGCCCTTCTTCTTTGGATGGCAACCTCAAATTGGATTCGTACTTGATCCAATATAGTATCTGTGATGGTGTGGGTACTTTTTTCATAGAGAATCAATCCAAGACATTAACTGATCAAACTATCGAAATCCTGATTCCTGACTGTATGGAACCCTAATTCACCTGTATCTTGACAAAGAAAAACTTGAAATAGGTTAAGGGTTAGATAAACAAATGATGATGCTCCTAGAATGATGATGAAGATCTAATGGTCAAAATTTGGGATATAACAATATCATCTTCAAGAACGTCCCTAAGGTACGCCATATGTTCGAATCCTTCTTAAAGTTCCTCCCACTGCAGGAAACTACACAAACATTTACAACTTTTTCTTGGACAAATTACTATTCAATTAAATCCTTAAAATTGTTTGGTTGGAAAAGAAAAAGTACAAGTCTTGCTTCCTTTGCTTTAGAAATAAGCAGACGGTATATAAACTGGTGTGAGTTTAGATGGAAGCCGCCATATTGGAATTTGGAAACAACTCTGAATGTCTAATTGTTAGGATGAATTATTAAACATAACGTCATTGTTAGGATGAATTATTGGGCAATTAATCATAACTTAACACCAAGTATTAATTTAAAAAACTGAACCTCTATTCCCGATATCTTGTATATAAAAACTCTATTCTAAAATGACAATATAATCTGAATGTCTTATGTGTCATTCAATAAGTTATTCTAAAGATCTTAATCAAATGTTGATTCATAATCTATTTTGTTGAGCTAATTGAAACATGTCAAAAACAACTTTTTGATATGTGATGAACTATTTCTACAAATGTATCCAAACACTAATATAACGTTGTTATGTAGCAAAATTTGAATAGTTTAACCTCAAACATTTACTATTTCATAGATAATTTCAGCATTATAAATGCTAATTGAAATCGATAAATTAAAACGAAAAGAAAGTGAATCCTTTTATAATTATAAATTGATCAGTGATTACAAATAAACAATAAGAAAGAATACCTATAGCAACAACGGTGGTTATAGATTCGACGAAACCGTAAATTTCAGAAGGCTTGGTGTCATGATTAGGTGATAAACCGTATACTTTACAACAACCATTTATCATAATTACATAAAACAAAAAAATCAATCACATCAATGACACAAATATAAACCCTTGAACCGAAATAAGAGACAAAAAACAAACCATTCTTTTTTTAAAGCTTTACCCAAAGTACAAAATAACTAATCAGTTCCAGAAAGACAAAACCCAACATGTGGTTACCTCTCAAAAATCTAGAAACGAAAAAAAATCAATTCATTTGTAGGGTTACCTCTCAAATACGTGGAGATTGAAGAGAGACAATGGAGATCAATGAGAGAGAAACGATGCATACCTCTACAAGAATGTGAGATCGAGAGTGAGAACTAGGTTCAAATAGAGAGAGAAACCAAGATCTGGAGCGAGATCCAAATTGAGAGGAAATGAGATCGGGAGAAAGATCGAGAGTGGGAGCAAGATCCAAATCGAGATGGAAGTAAGATCAGAAGAGAAATCGTGAGAGAGTGCAAAACCTAGATTGTGAGTGAGAGGATAGACGCAAAATGTTTCATTTTTAGGAATGTGACAGTTAAAATTTACACGTTTGAAAAAAATATATATTTAGCATAACACGTAGACCTCCATTAATAAAAGCTAACAAATGGATCCAGATCTAAAAACATAAAACTTTGTGAGAATTACTGTTTGAAAAAAAAAACTTAGAGGAACTAAACTTGAAAGTTACATATTTAAATTTTTTTTTTAATTATAAAAAATAGAAAAAAATATATAATGAAAAAACACAAAAACGACGTCACTACAGGCACGGGCGAATGTAGGCACGCGCGACAGGCATTGTGGTTTTGAGACAGCGTCGTTTCCGCAGCACCGTGAGAAGAAAGGGTTATTCGTTCCCATCTCGTTAAGCTAGTTTCCTGCAATCGAGAGAGAAATCGTGTAGAATTATAGAAAATGGGGTACGTGCTGAGAGTGAGATTAGCGTCGTTCTTCACCGGCGCTGCAACGGCGTCGTTTGCAGGTCTCTACATCCTCCATAGGGATTACAAACTTGCGCATCAATCCCTTGCTCAACAGGTACACCCAAAACCTCTTATCTTTTTTTCCAACATTCTGCCACAATATTTATCTTAATCACGTCGATTACGATACCTATTAGCAATTGAAAGAGGGTCATAGCTGATCTGACTATGATAATCATTTCTGAGGATCATATTTATTTTATTCCTTTAATTTTACCCTGCAATTTTCTGTTTTACCATCTTGGATATATCCTGTTGTAAATAGGGGTACATAGTAGAAGGAAGGTGTACAGATTTGTTGCTTTAGAAAAAAACATACCAGTAACTAGGTTGTAAAAGGGGAACCTTTGGAGGAGATTACTTATCATTCAATAAATTTGTAAGTTACATTTGTTTCTATCACTACTGTATTTCTTTTCCCTGGGTTCCTGACAAATGGGTCTGTTCTAGTGGATCTCTTGTGGATAAGAAATGGAGAATTTGAGGTTATTCTGCAAAGAGGTGACCAACAAGCAGTGATGACAACCTCGTTCATGCCTTTGTGGGAGTCTAGCATTTTCAAGTTTAAGAAAATGTTATATCGGTTGATAAAGATGCAAGGACTTGATTAATGCAAAAAGGGCAGGAGGTTCTACCCCCTAAAATTGAAAAGTTTATTGAGGGAATGTGAGGAATCAAGCATACGTTGGATCAGTGGATGTAAATTACATGCATGATTGCGAAGCGAAAAGGGTGGAGACACTACAATCACCAGAGATGGCCTTGTTGCAGCAATATGAAGAAAATTCTGAAAGCTTCAATAGGGAGTGTATCAACCGAGAATTCTGTTATCAGACAAAGAGGATTGAATTTCCCTGTCCCGATGACAGTAATCTGTTGGGATGAGTTACTGGGATGAAAGAAAAACTCTTTCAGTAGTATTAGACAAAATCTTTGGAGAAAATGCTGAACGGATTTGATACTATGGCAGACATAACCTATCCCATTTGGATTATCTTCTGGTTGATAACAGTTTCTTGATAAAAATAAGTTTGTGATTCTTCATTTATGGAAAAATTCTTACAAGCTTCTGTTCAAGCATTGGCAGCCATAGAGATCCAGGTTATATGTGGTGTAGCTGCACTGCACCGCCACCCCCACCATCACCATAGCTACATGCCACTAGTCATTAGCCGGCTTATAGTGCCCAACAGGCTGCATTAGTAAAGCTGCCATGGGTATGTAAGACACACATCTTACTCACATTGATGAATTCTAGTAAGCTATCAATATAGGAGGTAGGGGTTGTCAACACAGGAAGTAGAGGTTGTGCTTGAGTATTAGATGAAATGTCTGCCTTCAATAATGAGGGGCAGAATTAGCATCCTGCTAATTGGATCTGATTCCTGACGGGCTTGCCCTAAACTGGTATCACTATTTAGGGTCATGAGCAGGGAGATAGACATTGCAAATCTGCCTACTATGGTTAATATTTTAACTGACCAAGCTCAAGCCTATAGGCAAATGAACTGCAATTCTGAAACAGGAGATGGTTTCTATGTCTTACTCAAGCAGATTATTGGATTGGCTGTCCGCCCGTCCAGCTTCAGCTCCCAATTACAGATTCCACAATCAAAGATCTCTTAATAAGAGGGGCCCCATAATTTTCCTAGGATTCGTGTCAAGTTCCACTTTCAAGCTCATGTGTTGTATTTCAGCATACTCATGTGAGGAGGTTTTTGCTGAGCAGAGAGCTGTTCGAACAACTTATCTAGATTCTTAGTCCTATTCAAGGTCAGACCTCATTGGGGCCAACCAAGAGCACATCTGGCCTTACCCAGAATTTAGACAGGAAAGAGATGGTAGGTAGTCAAACTAGTTTTCGACGATGAAGAAGGTTACTACACTGACCGGTTTTGGAAAATTGGTGATGTGAACCCTATTGCTTGACTACTTTCAACCTTGAAGGCGATCTGTTAGAACTGGTACTTTGCTAAAATGAATTACTTGTATTATGCACAAAGAAGGGTTGAGCTCCAGCCAACGGTAAAGAACTAAACCGGTGTACAAAATGTGAACAAACTATCCAAGGCATTCAAGAGGCCTTTTCTCCCACACACCGTGACTTGCCCCCTAGTACTTTTTCTAATAATCCCCAATACTAACCGACTTCTATTTATCATTTCCTTCTGAAACTAACTTCATCTCTTCTAACAGCTGTTGCTTCCTTATTAACAAATGTTACAACTATTAATTCCCATTAAGTCCTTACTAACATACACTTTCTAGCCAAAGACTGCAACTGTAGGGGTGTGTAACTTTAAACTCACCATTCTCTCTGGCCTTCACTAAATTACTTTTCAATTCATCCAAAAGTTGAGCCCACTCTTCAAGCAGTCGGTTATTCTTCAAATAGAAGTATATAATAAGGGAGTCCACATAAGTTAGAGGATTAGTTTGGATAGTTAGTTGAGGATACTTGATTGAATAAATAGAGAGGAATAATAAAAAGGAAGCGGTATTTGTTACTTTGGAAAAATATAGTAGTGATTCAGTTGTAAAATGGGAAACCTTAAAGAAGAATTGTATTTCCTATTTTCGACCATCAAATAAAATTCTTCCTTTGCGTTTGTCTGTTTCTATCAATTCATACTAATATATACATTCCACTGCATAGCACAATGTTAAAACTTGCTCTGAGTAGCTGTGACTTATGCCGCTGGTGGTTGAGTAGCTTTTTCCGCTTTTCACAGGAATTAGGCATACATCAACCTATCTAAACCATGAACTATTTCTGCATCTTAAGTATTCTTGGCTATGCACTTCCCACATTTGAAGTAACAATCTCTTAGACCCTTCCTTTTCAAGCATGGGAAGAAATGGCAGGGTTTGTTTGACAACAGGAGTTTTCATTTTTACCACTCGTAGAGTGCTTCAATAAGTTACTGAACTTTCTTTGCTTTTGCAGACGAATGGTCTCTACGAATCACTTAACAGTCGAATTTCTTCCTTGGAAAAACTCAAACAAACTGAAACTTCACAACAGGCGGAAGCTACAGAATAAGTATGTGAATCGAGGCATCTATTGTAGTTAATTGTTGTGGTGGAAGTTTTATCGAATCTACTCACTGCAACAAGTGACTTTTCACTGGTTACTCTTTTAAGGAGTAAAGTTTAATTTCACTCATTTTATGGCATCTCATCTGGCTCAACTTTCTTACCATAAGTGTTCAGACCGTTTCTGTATTCAGATGTATTTTGGATTATACTTTTAGCTCGAATCATTTAACTTTTATCACCATTGTGTTTGGGATAGGAGACAATGCTTTCTCTTTTGAAGCTGAGAATTGTGTTTCTATTTAGTTACTACATATATGGCTTGAAAATAAAAATGATCACCCTTACACACCATAAAATGATTACTTTAACACTATTTCAGAGTTATAGGATTTCTTTTCAACTAAATATGATTCTATAATTACAAAATGAGTTTATAGATATTTATGAAGAAAATGAATCAGAAAGCTTTTGAATTTTTTTGAGGTATTTGGTTTAGGTAAGGAGTTTGAAATTTTAAATCCACAAATCCATGAATCCAATCTATTGATATATCACACTATTTTTATTTTATTTTATTTTATTTATAAATTATCTAGCATAATTATTACGATGCATATATATTTTTTAAATATAATTATAGTTTTTATTAACTGTAAAATGCATATTTTTTTAATATAATTATAGTTTTTATTAATAGTAAAAGTCTAAGTTTAAATTAAATTTGAAAGATCAACTTTATTAAAAGAAAAATATATCTTCTCTTTAAAATTATACTTTATATCATTTGTATATTTTTCTATCTTTATGAGTTGTAAAAGAATTTTTAGGTATTAATCAATAAATTTTATTCAAATTAAATATTAAAAGTTTATAATTATGGTAAATTAATTAAATTAATATATTTTATTTAAAATTTAAAAATTATATTTAATAGATGGTCCATGAACTTATTCCCACTCAATTTATTAATAAGCAAATTGATTTGATTCAGTTTTAGTTCTAAAAATAAGGGTTGAATACTCAACCTAATCTAAATAATATTGATTAGTCAAATGTTAAACTTAATTCAATTCTCGAACACCCCTACATATAATAGTGAGAATATAGTATTAAAAGATAGTTGTTATTAAATGAATATATTTATTCGATTCACTTAGATGATTATATATAGGCAAGTTGATAATAAATTCTATCAATCATTGCATAAAAATAGAAAAACAATATCAACTTATTTAATTAATTTTACTAAGATAATGAAATGCTGTAACAATACCCTCTCATTCAAACATCTTTATCTTAAAAAGAAGAACAAGCACAAGTGTCATATTTAAGAGGCAACTCTCTCCATTTGATTAAAATGTTAGCATCTCGAACATTACCCTTAATCATGAAAAACAACTAAAAAGCAAACTGATTTAAAACTAGCTGAGATTGCCTTGGTGATAATTGTTTCTCAAAAGGACAATAAGAGGAATTTCTCTTGAGTAAGTAGTCTCATGTAAGAATTGTGACATGAACAACAAAAAACAAATCATTGATAACAAATTTGCATTTGGCATGCTTAGGAGGCAACTAAGCCAATTTGAGCATAATTTTATGAAAAAAACACTTCATACGTTAAATTACGCGAATCCGATTTTGAAATTTTTTGCACGTTAATTTTATGTGCAATTGAAATTCGATTCAACCGGTTTATCTGTAAAATCGAAATTTTATTTTGTTGACTTTTCAAACATTATACTGAAAAAAATGCATGTTATGATATGCATATGATGCAAATGTACTGTAAATGCGTTGATTTATTGATCTAGGGGGAAATTGGGATGTGACATCAGGGAATGATAGAGTGCAGTTCAAGAAGTATTGTCGCATTCAACCGTTTTTATGTCTTCATCTTTAAGTATGATTCAGCATAACCACATTTAACTGGGGTCGTGCCTTATTCCTATGAGTATGATTCGAAGCATTGTCGCGTCTAGCTGATCCTATGCCAAATCATTATAGATGCAATTCAAGCATAACCGCGTCCAGCTGGTTCCATGCAAAATCATCACACGTGCAATCCGAAACACAAATGCTTGTAGATTGACTCATGTCTCATAGTTACGAATCCGACAAACAGGCACATTAAGCTGAACCAATACTTCACTTACGCAAACACCTTCCAATTATGGCCAGAAAAGAATGACCCAACATCTTGCAAATACAACACATACATCTTAAAAACTTAAGGTTATTTATACTTTAAATAACAAATATTATTTACCGCTCTTTCCAACGGAAACCTTATACGAATTGAAAAGCTCAAAGAAAACACCGACATTCCACGACTCTCAATCGACCAAAAATTATGATTAACAGGAGCAAAATGCAAAATCGTAAGCTCAAAGATGCATAAGGTAAATGATAAAAAAAATAAAGTATTGTTTATAAGCCAAGGCATAAAAGTCAGGCGAAACCATACACAAAAAGGTGGGGGACAAGAGGCTAGTCGAGAACATAGACGATTCTCCCATCTAAAACTATATGGCCTTGCCGGATCTATTCCCTCGAAACAACCAATGGACGATGAAAATGCTTCACATACTGCAGTGCATTCTCAAAAGACTCTGTCACCACCCAAGGCTTACCGCAACACATTATTTAAATTTTTGTGTTAGAGAAGTAATTTGACTTCACAAAAACTCCAACTCCCTCTGGGAAGAATCAAAAACCTCGGTTTTCCTTTCCATCATTCTCGCCAGATGTATCACCTGACTACCATAAGTACTAAGGAAATTGAGCGGAGCCAGAGCTTTGTTTACCTCTTGTAAAGAACCTAAACTTTCTATAGTTCTCGCAGATACATGTCCCGTTTGAAAGTCAAACTACTCACTCTCCTCTCCAACCAACTTTTTTAGTCGCACAACCGGTCTGTCCAAAGAGCTTTCTTGTGGCCAAATTTGCCTAGTGTTAAAGCGACAGAGGTCCGCATAGCAGACTGCACCAGACTATGCAACTCCTCCCCTAGAGCCTTCCTAGAGAGGTTGATAAAAACACTTGAGTTTCATAAAAAAAAAATGAATCACAACGGCCGTGAGAGGGACCAGGATGGGACCCGAGATTCGTCCTCACACTCAAAGAGGCAGTCAACATAGCAACATTCTGTGGGAGTTCCTAAAGAAGGGATGAGCCTACAATAATACCGGGCAATTGTATACCCCATTTTAAAATTCGAACCCACATTTCATCCTTCATTACATCTGCACGGAAAAATGATTGTCACCTGGATAAGTGCCTAAAACGGGGGAGCAACCAACAACAAAAGAATGGAAGCAATTTAAACTCACCAAAGGAAATTTGATGATCCTCGCGAGAGCGAGCTTTTATCACTAGTGAAACATCTATCAGCCGCTTTAAACTTTTTTTATCATCTTTGAGAGAGGGAACTACGCCATCAAGATAACCTAGGAGGTTAACAAAGTTCACAAGTTTCTTCTTTTGATACAAATACTCAGCAAATAAATCTTCCTCTTTTAAACATATGTGTTGTTTCCCATGAGGAAATGCTTCGCTGACTAGTAATGGGTAAGCAAAGGTTTACAGTTACTTTCTACCTCTGGCTTGACCCTACAAATGGCTGCATAAGCCAAGGGATGAAGGGGGAAATGGTTATAAAGAAGAACCGATCTACAAAGGATGGCAACTCAGGAATAGGGATGTAAATGAATATCCATGGGGGCGAATACTATGATATTTGTATTTGCCTCATTAGATAAATATGATATCCATATCAGCCCCATATTCATGCAGATATCTGTTAATCGGGTAATATGTGGGTTTTACGTTATCCACAAATATCCATGGATAATATTTTTTTTATAAATGTTTGTTTTTCAAAAAAATTTTAACTTCTTTTAAAGACACAAAACATTATTATCACATAACATACATATAATTCACTCTTAATTTAATAATAAAATTTCATCACATTAATTTTTTTTATTCACCAAAATATAATTAGATCCAAACATAATATCTATACATTTCATTTTTAACCAAACAAATAAAAGATATTGTGATAATGAGTTATGATGGAAGATTAGACGACAGAGGACTAGGAAGGGAGACACTGGTTCGACAGAGAAATGACGATACTAGTTGGTTGGACTGTCAAGTTGATGAAGTGAGGTATGAAGTATCGAAGAGTTTAAATATGAAATGACTAATAGAATTTGAAAGAAAAGTGAAAGACTTTCTTCAAAGAAAATTTCAAAAAAAGAAAGAAGAATAAGAATACTAATTTTTAGAAGATGAAAAGATAAGGTATAATAAACTAATGATATTTAAATGATTTTTATAATTTATAAACGGATATGGATATCTGCAGGTATGAATATCATTAAACTCATATCCATATTCATTAACAAACGTGTATTTAAATATCCATTTATTTTATTTGTGGATATCCATTAAGCTACCCGCCCCATATCCGTGACAGATTTTATCCACGGATATCCGTGAGTATGAATTTTTTTGCCATCCCTACTTAGGAAAGTCTTCAAAGGTTGATATCATTGACACCAAGAAAACTAACTCTCGTTCACTTGGTGTTGTACCCCAAAATTTGCCCAACCTTTTTCTTACTTGGTCTATGTTTCATTTCATTAGCATCTTGCATGTGCATAGCATTGTCCTTTTCAGGGGATCAAGAGAGGTGTGCTACTCAAGAGGAGAGTATCAAGGGTTTCAAGCCCAACCAAGAGTGGTTACTCAAGTCACCCAGTGCTTATACTCATCAAGAAGTGGCCAAAGTTCTCTGAGGGAGAAGATTGACAAGTGTGGCTTATCTCCTATCTTGAAGGTCAACTGAGGATCATTAGGGATCATAAGCCCATGGTTATGGATAAGAGATGTTGGAGAAGCTCATTGAGTGTCTTTGAGTTCATTGAGGAGCTTATCTAAGGTGTTATTTCACTTGCAAGAGTTTGCAGTCAAAGTTTGTGCATCTAGGGTTTCATCTGC